TTGAAAAAGGTACAGAGAGAGGTCCTCTGCCATACTGAGAAGATAAGCATGGTGGGGGTCCTTCCTCTCACCTTCCTGTTGCAAAGAATGTGTCTCCCCTGGTACAGCCCCACTATGGGGTGTGCTTTGCAGGCTGGCAGGCTGCCTCCGTGTCCTGCCACGCATTTCCCAAGGAGAGGGCAGCAGAGAGCCACGCATAGCTCTGCTCCCCGCACAAGTAAACACCAGCAAAACAGGGAAGAGGGAGATGTGCGTTCAGGAGAATCACATCTGGCTGATGGTAGTTGCCAAGCTCTGCTTACCTCTCCCTAACAAACCTCTGCTCCTGACTTGGGTGAAGAGGGGCTGTGGCATGGCTGGAACCTGAACTGTCACAGTGCTGAGCAGAAATACCAGCACCAGAGGCTGGGTGGCTTTTCTTACATATCTTGCTATTGCAGCTGAACCAGCCCCCCTGTATAGCCATCATGTCCTGCCTCTCTGCTTTCCTACCTGGGACAGGGTTTTTTTCACTTGGTTTAACTGCTAGCTTTCTGAGGACAGGCTACTGTCACACTATGTGTATGCACAATGTCCCACAGAAGTGCTGTCCAGGTAGAAGCACCTGTCACTGATGCAGAAACCAGTCCTCTGGGCAGACAACGTGAGGGAGGCAGGAAGGAAGCATTAATAGTGAAGGACACATTTGAATTGAAGCAGGGAAAAGAAAAAAAAAAAAAAAAGCACTGCACGAGAGAAAACTGTAAAAATCCTAACCAATAAAAACAGGAAATGGATTTTCTGCCAGAACAAGGAATGAAGCAGAGAGGTGGGGACCTTCTCCATGCTCTGCTGTTACCAGCAAACCAGAAAGTAATGGGTCACACAGTTACAAAAACAGTAAGGAGGACTGGGAAAACAGAACAGGCCAAGCTGGCAAAGGAGATCCTGTAAAAGGGAGATTCGAGCAAACAGGGATTGGCTGCACTGCACCCTCTTCACATTTGGTCTCCCAAATGGGAGGGCTCATGCCACCCTCCCCAGCAGGAAGGGCACCATGCCTGCAGGGCAGGGGGCTCACTTCTCCTCCCTGAAGTTAGCAGCCGCATTAGCATCAAGCTGGAAGTGACAAGAGATGGGTCAGCAAAGCACTTTCCTTCAGTAGGAAGCAGTATGTCAAACAGATTGCACAACCAAGAAAACTGGGAGACGATGACTGGTCCCCCAGCAGCATGGCAGCCTCAGTGGCTAACAAACTGCAAAGGACCAACCTCCCCCTTGAAAGCAGCCACAAAAAGGCAACTGCACCTCTAAACCGAATGGGATGCTGCGTGGGGAACTGAATGTGAAGTACTCCTGCTTGTGTGAACTGCAACAAGTGACAACAAATGAACCCCTGCTACTGTGCCAATACAGAGGAGGAGACTGTACTGCTGGGAAGATGAAGAATAAATGACCAGAGCCAGCAGATTTAACAAGAAGCATAAATACAAACCCAGAAAAGCCTGGGACTCATTTTAAAAAAAACCCTAATAATAATAATGCAGTAACATTCACTTTTCAAAGGACACAACTGCAAACCAATATCCAAACCTGAACTTTCTGTCTGCGCTCTCTGCAGCAAACAGTTCAATTTACAGTTGGTGGCCCAAATTTTCACCTCCCTGATGCCAACATCTACAGAATTAAAGCCAATAGTGGCATAGGAGTGATGAAAATGATGTCTCTGACCCTCTAGTATGTCATGTTGATGGGGAAGTACAACAGGGCAGGTCAGAGACTTCAGCACAGCACTACATTGTGGTAAACAAGAAATGAACTTCAAGGCTTAGAAGACCTGGGGAAGTCTCTGTGTAACAGCTGCGCTATGACACCCAACCTGCTGCCTTGGAGAGACAGAAGGAAAAGCTACTCTACTACTGTTTCTCTGTTGCATAATCCCAGTTTTACATCACTGTGCTTCCAAATACATCAGCACAAGGTGCAAAGATCCATCCCTCAGACTTGCACCTGAGGGAAGCAACAGTGAAGTAATCCACTTAAGCGGATAATGCCCCAGTAATGCAGGTCTAACACCTGGCATAAAGCTCCAGAAAGCCAACAGGCCAGCAGAAGGCATGTCAAATCCGAACAAGACTCCCAGCACCCCTTCTTCATGGTCCAGTATGCATGGCACATCATGAAGCTATAAGCCATAGGGTGATGTTTACTCTTCTCCCATGAGCACCCAAGTATTACTAAATGAAGCGTACCATGCAACTCCAAACTAAGTTCTTACAAGATTTGTGCCAGATTACTGCCAGGTATTTAGGTTCAGCTCTAGCATGATAACCATTCAATTCCTGCGGTACCCAGTGGGGCTCAAGTCCACTTGGCACCTTCCAGGATCAGATCTAGGTATATGACTGCTTGCTTTGCTGCTATCGTGAGGGCACTGTTGTGGGGAAGTGCACAGCACAGGGTGCTGAACATGTCACCAAGCCCACAGGTCCCCAGTTTACAAAAACACCCCAAGCCAGATATTCATACTGCATTAGGGCAACACTGTGGAAGAAACAGCTCATTTCTCCACAGAGGCAGATGACAAATGGCTGTTAAACATGCCCTGCTTCTGTTTGCAGCAGGTTGTTACATGAAGGAAGGAATGCCAAGCATAATGCAAGGCTGGTACAATCACAACATGTTTCAAGAAGAGGTCTCATCCATACTATTTATCTGCCCAGCTCAACACTGAGGCACTATCTAAAAAAAAAAAAAACAAAAAAAGAAATTTCATCATGTATTGCAGAAAACTATGGTGGTGGTTCTGGCAAGGACAGCATACTGACCCGAATGAGATTCATTTCCTGACTGCTTTCCATAAACGTCCAAATCTTCGGGCTTATCTCCTCCCACATCCCCCCAAGGTCACGAAACACACCCAGCTCCTGGAATGTCCTGTTCACCTGTCAGCAAAGAAGAGAGGAAGGTTATTTCCAAAAGTTGGCAGAGATTCACTGAAGGCTGAGAGGGTGCACTGACCTGTCAAGTGAAGTACTGAGTGTTGCTTAGATTCAAACAGCAGCTCAGCTTCTGTTTAAGGACCAGAGTAGGGAAAATCAAGTGCACTTTGAAGGAAAGCAACAACAGGGAGTGTAGACGCCTGTGGCTGAGCACTGCCTTTCAAGGCTTGGTAGAGAATGACTCTGCCTTGGAGATGAAGGGCACACAGAGGCAGCCCTTCCCCATGTGCCAGAAGAGTCTTGCTGAGGGAGTGTGGGGAATTAGAGAGCACATTAGGTAAACCACAATCGGAAATGATTAAGTATCCATTGACCAGCCTGCAGTGGAGGAAAGGAAGGACACCTGAAGGCTTATCAAGGTCTTCCCCTCTGCCATATCTCACATCAGAGATGCAAAGCCTGTGCATAATCAAAAGGCACCACCAGGAAACCTTCCAAGCCAAGTCTAGACAGCCTGGCCTTTTCTTCTTGAGCCTTCAAAAGCAAGTGCATGGGAGGTGAGACTAGGGAGGCTGTGATTTGCACGCAGTCTTCTCTAGGCTTGTGTTTGGGTCCAACTTAACACAGAGCAGCTAAGCTGCACAGCCAGAGAATGTACCTTATTCTACATATAAGAGGCTAGGGCTAGAGTTACCTCAGTCATGACCTTCCTTACGGCTGGTGTGTCTGGAGTGTACAAGATCTTCCCAATCAGCAAGGGTTTCAAAGCCCTCCAGATAATCCTGGAAAGTGGGCTGGATTCCAGGTTCTTCATGAGCTCATTGCAGTAGGGTGCTGAGGAGGAAAGGACAAGAATGAATGGCTGAACAGCATGGTGACAACTGCAGAAGGCATATGGTCCACTGGTGTGGACTTTAAGGACAGTCACAGCTGAAAGCAAAGCACTTGTCAGACAACAAAAACCTCCTCTACTGCAAAACTCCACAAAAGGCCCCTTTCAGTCCAAGCCTCCATGATCTGTGCAGCAAACGTGGAGCAGCCAGGTAGCTTCCAGCATTAAGAGCTACACTGCTAGTTCCGCACTGTTTCAACAGCCCCACTGCATGGCACAAGAAAAATTTGTCCAGAAAAGGCCAGATTTCCAAAGTCTGCACATGACTTGGTTCCCTCTGCTCCTGAAGGAGGTCTACTGCACAGCCTTCTGTGGACTCTACACGAGGCCCTTAGGAATCCCTTAAACGCTGATATCCCTGCTGGCCTTAAGGGCATGTGCAGGAGGCAGCACGTGAATGCCTTTCTGAAACAACAGAAGGTATGCTGTCCCTCAGGACCACCCGCTTTCATTTGTGGAGGTTTGGGAAACACTAGCAATGACAACCATGAAGTAGATGGGACCTTAGGCCATGCCATGCTTACACTTACTTGTGGAGTTATCATAGAAGTTAGTTACATCGTCTTCAGTGCTATTGCCTCCAAAAAGTGCTTTGTAATTGTTATCCTCATACCAGTTGAGGGATTTAATTTTGAGCCCTCCACCTTCGGGATGGCCACACACAATGCGCGACACAGCCTGGTAGATCTGCGTAGAGGAGTTTGAGGCATTCACGTTGGTCAGGAACATCACCTCTTGCCTCATGTCACTCCAGCTCTTCATGCTCAGCAACTGGAGGAGGGGGTGGGAGAAGAGAGCAGAAGCAGGGATAGGAACAGGATTAGCAAAAGGAGAATATCTTGCCACTCTTCTTCAAATCACACATCTGTTTTTGAATAGATGAGAATCCCCTAGAATGCAACATCAACAGTAAAGACCAAGGAAGGCGCATTACCCCCCACCATAGTGGGAGAACGTAGAGGGTCTTCTGTGCATGCACAAGGAATGTGTGCTTGCCAACCTGTTTACTCTTAAGTTTTCTCCTCCAGTACTGTGGGTGGTTCCTACCCTCTCTGCCCTCTCACATGGAAACTGCCTCTCCTCCCGATTGCACAACAGCTCACATTCCAGTGGAGCCCCTTCATGCGGGGTGGGGTGCATCAAGTCAGAAGAGGGAGTAAGGAACAACACAAAATGAGTGCAGCTTATGGGACACAAGCTGGATGAGCTGCAGGCCTCAGCAGTGTCACTTGGCACAATTCCACCAAGGTCAGCAAGCCTCCACTGATTTACAGCAGGCAGCCAGTGTGACGTCCTAGATCTGTATCGCTTGTCCCTGCCCTAGCACCTCCCTGCCCATTGTCAACAGCATTCCCAGAAAAACTCTGAAAACAAGCCCAGCTTCAGCCTGGAGCCTGATGACAGCATGTGCACACAGCCAGCCACAGCAAGGAGCCTTCCCTTGCCCAGCCAGATTGACACCAGGCTCAAGGTAACAACACACAACTGGCCAGGATGACTGGTACCTCTAGACTCATTTGTCTGGTATAAGCTACTACCTGCAATATGTCATGAACAAAAGTTTCAGCGGCTGAGCCTGAGACACTCACTGTATTAATATCACTGTACCATAACCAAACTCACCACAATGGAAAAAAGCAATGCGCCTCCACATGCACTGGTTTCACACTACATTCAAGCATTGCTCTCAGACTCCCTGTCTGGAGATGCAAGATCATCAGCAGGGGTATGGCCATGAAGACTAGAAGACTGTTTATCTCAGTAACCTCTGTGATGGTGGATGTCAGGAAAATATAAGTCAAGGGTAAGAATGTAGGATACTTCCCCCAAGTAACATTCCAGCTTCCATTTATTTTCAGCTCATGGAACTTCTGTTTCCTAACCCTCAATTAATTTCTTCCATGGTAAACTGCTACAGTTTTGAACATGCACAAGTATTTAACATCCAACAGATCCCTGGAGAGAACGTCCTCTCCCTTCTTCTTAACTTAGCTATGGTTAGCCCATTTTGGTGCCATGGTTTTTTGCACTGGAAGAGAGTGAACATTGAATCCCTATCTCTTTTTTCTGAGTCACTCAACTCTATAGACCCCGGTCATAGCCCCAGCTCATCTCTTTTCCAAGCTGACAAGTCCCAGCCTACTCCTTTGTTCCTTGTGTGAAAGTGATTCCACTTCAAAATGCCCTCCTCTGAACTTTTTCCAGTTCTGCTACCCCTTTTTGGGGAAGAAGGACCAAGACCTATATTCCATATTGAACAGGAGGGCAATCCATGGTTTTACGTAGGGTCACGGTAACATCTTACAGCTGTCTCTCTATCCCTTTTAAAATCTTTTCTAGCATTTGATCAGATTTCTTGACTGCTGCTGAAATATCAGGTGATATTAACTTGGATGTTCTTCCTATGCTGCCCAGACAGCAACATGCACTAATAAGGCCAAGTGGAACTGATGAGACACCTGTTTGTAACAGTTCATCAGCTGCCTCTCAGAATCAACTTTAGGTGCTGTGGCCCAACTGTCCTGTTCTCAGAGACAATAAGAGCCAGTCAAAGATCATCTGCCAGTTTTGCTCACTGTATTGTTTTTTTCACCTTTGTTTAAGTAAGATGCAGATAAAGAAAGTCTGGGACAGGTGGCACAGCCAGACAGCAACAACGCAGAAAGTGATGGTGTGCTGGAACAACTCAATCCAAATTCAACTAAGTAAAGCACTCCCGGAGACTCCATCCTCCGTCCTTACACTGGGAGGCAAACCTGACCCTTTGTGCTCATCTGTAGCACTGTGCATGCTTTAGATGTGCCAACATCTGGACAAAAATTCTTGATGCTAAATAACAGCTACTATGTGTCAAATACACAAGGAGCCTTTATTTTTAGCTGCCTGAAAACACATAACACATTGATATGGTGGAAGACAGCTGTGAGAACAGCTAAAGCCTGGGGATTCACTATAGGTGTCCAGAGTGACTGCTGCAAGTGTACTTTCATTTCCTCACTGCTGCCTCTGCCTGCACCCCAGTGCCACTCAATCTGGCTCCACAGGTTCAGGGTGACTGACAAGACACTAGCATCATGGGACATGAATGAAAAAAATGTCACACAACAGCTTTTGTTGGTTACCTACAGAATGAATCACAGAATGGTTTGGGTTGGA